AGTTTTGCTCTTGTTGCCCATGCTGGAGTGCAACGGCACATTCATGGTTCACTGTAACCTCTGCCTCCCGGGTTCAAGCTATTCTCCCGCCTCAGCCTCCCAAGTAGCTGGGATTACAGGTATGTGCCACCATGTCCAGCTGATTTTTTTTAAATTTAGTAGAGATAGGGTTTCTTCATGTTGGTCAGGCTGGTCTTGAACTCCTGACCTCAGTGATCCACTCGCCTCAGTCTCCCAAAGTCCTGGGATTACAGGTATGAGCCACTGTGCCTGGCTGGTATATTTCTTTATTTCTTGCTCTGAGTGCCAGTGGTCTAGCCACTTCCTCAGGTCAGGTGTTACATGGAAATGTTACACCTAAGACCTCAGGACATCATCCTAAATCCATCCCTCTCCCTCGCTCCCACCTACCCATCCATCACCAGATCCCAGTGCCTAATGCCCTTCCCTCCCATGCCCCAGCTTCTGCTGTGACTGTAATTATCATCATTCCTTACCCATCATCCATCCTTTGTCTTGCTCTCAGCAATTACATGGCTTCACACTTCTGCCTTCAAACACTCTACAGGCTAGCTGCTCAAATGGTGGCAAGCGGATTAGCAGTATTGAGAGTTTGTTAAAAATGCAGAACCTCTGGCTGGACACGGTAGCTCATGCCACTGTGGGATTATGGGTACCGTAATCCCAGCACTTTGGGAGACCGAGGTGGGCAGATCACAAGGTGAGGAATTTGAGACCAGCCTGGCCAACATGGTGAAACCCCGTCTCTACTAAAAATACAAAACTTAGCTGGGCTTGGAGGCGCCCACCTGTAATCACAGCTACTCGGGAGGCTTAGGCAGGAGAATCGCTTGAACCCGGGAGGCAGAGGTTGCAGTGAGCTGAGATTGCACCACTGCACTCCAGCCTGGGTGACAGCGAGACTGTCTCAAAACAAACAAAAACAAAAAATGCAGAACCTCAAGCTCCGACTCAGTGCTGTGGAATCAGAATCTGCATTTCAACAAATTTCCCACGTGTTTGAGAAGTCTTGCTCTCATAGATCCCGAAGCTTACAGACTCCTCAGAGAACGGTATTCAGGGTTTCCCCTGCCAGACTTCTCCTACCTCGTCCACAGGTATGAATGCATGGTATTTCCTCTTTGAACAGTTTCTTTTTCCTGCAACACCGTCTCATGAGACTCCTGCTGAAGGTTAGGGTTGAATATCACCTCCTCTGGGATCTACTTCTTGCTCTGGAGCCCCATTTCCTCTAGACCTCTCTTTATCCTAGCTTCTGTTTTATGGAAATGTTACACCTAAGACCTCATCATCTTTTAGTGACTATTTCTCTCACTAGCCGGTGAGTGCCTTGAGACAATGCCTGCATCTTACAAACTTCCTTATCCTCTGTGCTCAACACAAGTCAAACATATATTGAATGAGTGAGAGAAACAGCTTTTCCTCCAAGGAGGTCCTTCTTCCAAGTAGATCTGAAGTGAGTATTGGGGTATGCAAAGGGGTCATCCAAATGCTAGAGCCATGGTATGTTGGTTCAGGGGCAGTCACAGAGAACATCCAGTTATCTACTTTAAAAAAATTTTTTTAAGACAGGGTCTCACTCCTGTCACCCAGGCTGGACTGCAGTGACACAATCTTGGCTCACTGCAACCTCAACTTACCTGGGCTCAGGTGATCCTCCCACCTCAGCCTCCCAAGTAGCTGGGACCACAGGCATGCACCACCATACCTGGCTACATTTTTTGTATTTTTAGTAGCTATCGGGTTTTGGCATGTTGCTCAGGCTGGTCAAGAAGTCCTGGGTTCAAACAATCCGCCCACCTTAGCCTCCCCAAGTGCTGGAATTACGGGTGTGAGCCACTGCCCCTGGCGGAAACATCTAGTTCAACTGCATTTGTTATTTGCAAAGAGAGGCCCCAGAGGGAGAAGTGACTTACTCCAGGTTCCTCTGCTGGAGAGATGTAGCCTGAGTCACTAATGATTCATACTTTGCCCTTCCTGGAGTCAAGGGAGTGTGATAAGCAGAGAAATAAAAATCAAAGCGAGTCACGGATGAACCGCACATATTAGAGATTGTTTTTAAGAGACGGGGGTCACTATATTGCCCAGGCAGGTTTTGAACCCCTGGGCTTAAGCAATCCTCCTGCCTCAGCCTCCCAGTAGATGCAATTATAGGTGCACAATTTGTAAAGCTTTAAAACATGAAAAAAATTAAAAAAATATGAAATTATCTTCTTGCTTAGGAAATGATCATAATGGCAGGGAAAGATAATGGTTGCCCTATGGGGGTTGGGTGAAGCTTAAGAGTTTAGGATCAAGTCAGGGTAGGCAAGGGGCTTCAGCCAAGCGGTTTGTTCTTAAGCTGGTGTGTGAAATAGGAATTATTTTTTGTGTATTTAAGATTTTTAAATCTGAATCAGATCACACCTTATAATAGTTATCCCAAAAAATTTAAATAAGTTTTGCCTATGGTTTTGAGCTAACCAACGCTTGACCTAATAGGTGTCCACACATTTTTCTATAGTAAATGCAAACTTTCTGCATGGCAGGCTTCCAGCTGTAACAATCAAGTTTCAGAGCAGGGGGCATTTTAGAAACTGAATCCTGACCTGTTAATGGAGCATAAAACGAGCAGGGGCTAAGGCTGAGGGCGTATCTTAGCATACAAAGAGTTGAAGTTTTCATTTTAAAGGCAACAAAAAACCATTAAATTCTCCAGAATGGGTTGACTTAATTTGCAATTTTAGGAAGTTGATTGTGGCAAGGGTAGGTCAGACAGGAAGCTGGCTTGTTTTTGCAGCAATCCAGGGAAATATTACCTGCTCAAAGTAAACTTTAAAAAGCATGGTGGCTCATGTTTGTAATCACAGCACTTTGGGAGGCTGAGGTGGGAGGATTGCTTGAGTCTGGAAAGTAGAGGCTAGAGTGAGCCAAGATCACACCATTGCACTCCAGCCTGAGTGACAGTGAGACTGTCTCAAAAAAATATCAAATATGCCTGAACCCCGTTTTCCAACACACATAAAGGAACATGTTTTCCATTCTGGGTGGCCCTCTGTGCTTCAGCCCTATGTACTTTGTCCCCAGTAGTCCCCAGCACCACTGGTTGTGTGCAGGCACTGCAGCCTCAACCTCCTAGCCTCAAGTGATCTGCCTGCCTTGACCTCCCAAAGTGCTGGGATTACAGGCAGGAGCCACTGCCCTGGCCTTAGGCACACTTTTAACGTGTCCATTTTATCTTGCAAATCAATCTGAACCACAAGTTTTTGGACTTAGAGTAATAACTGAGGGTTGTTCTAGCCATCCTTGGAGCCAGGCCATCTGAGAGCCCTTTGGCTTCCTGAGGAAATGTAGCTATCCCAAAAACTAGTTTTAGTTAAGTGTGGTCCTGGGACCTTAAAGGGAAATGTAATTCTCTTTAAATCTATCAAGAACTAGGCAGAGAGCATGGGTTTAAGATCTTTTATTTTCAGAGCTTGCAATAGTTGGTTAGCAATGCTAGCTAAACTGGTATAATCTGAAGGCCATCCCACCTTTCTCTTTAGGCACTCAACCAACAGAATCTTTTTCTTACAAACAAGATCATTAACCAGTTGGGATCTGTCTCCACGCGTGTGTGGGAAGAAGTTCACTCCCCCATACTTTTCCCAACAAGGTTGTTTTATGGCCAAATACAACTCAAACCCATTAACACAGTAACTAGTCATCTCCAGTATCACTGATTCTCCCACCCCCAGAATAGGAAGTTGAGGTAAGAGGGAGAGACGGTCTCCTAAGAAAAACCTTTCTACACCTCAGTGAAGCTGTGATGGTAAGGAGGCTGGCACCAGAGGGTGGGGATGAGTAGGCGCTGAAACAGGCCTCTCATCAGTGAAGTCAGCCCCAGCTCCTTGGATGAAGTGTTCTTTTGAAATACCCACTTCTATGGGGTTAGATAAGGGGACAACTGGTGATGACTCATCACTCTGTCCCTCAAATTAAAACATGATAAACCGAGAAAGTTTTACCTTCAAAATCCAACAAGCTCCCTCCTGAGAAAATCCTATCCAGTCATGTCCATGCCAGCACCCACTCCCCACCCTTGGGTGGCCCATCCAACACTGATTTGATACTCCTTGACTCATAATATGACCATATTTTAAAAATTAAAAGCTATTAAACAATATCACAGCAAAATAAGGAAGACACTCAGTGGACATGTTCTTCCCCTATCCTGTGGAGCCCACCTCCCTATCCCCCTTCCCTGGGAAACCTACACTGCAACATTCCAGCACTGACCAGGGGGTGGCCTGATGGAAGCTGCCTCAAGTGCTTTCCTGACTGTGGCTCCTATACTAGCCAATGTCACAGGGAACTGGAGTGTGGAAGAACAGGGCCACACCTCCCACCAAATAGATCTCAGTGGCCAGCAGTGGGTCTGGGAGGTTTAGCTTATGTCAGGCAGCCAAGCCTGGGTCCAGCGCTCCCTCCCCAGGACCTCAGTTCTTGGCTTAAATAGCAGCAGCCCCAGTACCGCAGCACCTCCTGGGGTGACAGAGCACTTAGCTCTCTGTCCCATAACTTACAACAGGTTTGCATTTTCTTAACCCCTTCTTTAAAAAAAAAAAAAAAAAAAAAAATTAAAAGCCGAGGTAGGTCCTGGGATAATAAAACTCTACCTAGAATGGCAGTATTTCAACCTAATAAAGCAGTAAAATAGGTCTCCAGGAGTTAGAAAAAAGATAAAGTGATTGATGAAGTTGAATAAATTAAAGATACGGATTATCCCAAAGGCCTTGTCCTCCCAGGTTGTCTTTGCTATTTGGCCAACAGCATTTCTGTCTGTGTAACGTCTCTACTCCCCTCCGTCTCCTCTCCCCTCATGAGAAGGCTGGAGCCCAATACGGCCTCAGATGCTTCATCCCACTGTGGCTCAGAGCGGCTTGACACGGTACGTTGTGGCAGAGTCTGATATGGACGGAGGATGTCTAACAGGGAGAGAAGAGGCGTAGCCAGCAGTATGCCCTGGGCTCCAACCTTGGGAGTGTGGGAGGTAGGTTAAGGCGTGGAAGTCCCAGGCCCCCTCTCCAAATGTCACACAGCTGGCCCCTTTGCTCAAGTTCCTCTGCAGCAAAGGGGGACGGAGGGAAGCTCGGGCTGCTGCTGGGTGGCCCAGCCACCCTCAGAGCTTCTTCAGACGACTGTACATCTCCCTCTTGCTCTTCTCCCCTGCCCAGGTCCGGCTCTTGGTGCGGAACTTCTTCAGGTCTTCTTTAAAGTCCTCGTGGTGCATGGGCCGATAGCTGGGGGGCTCACAGTAAGACTGAGGGGACAGGAGAGAATGAGGTTAGGGCACACCTGCCTCACACCCACAACCTGGTTTTCTCTCTGCCTAAGGCTACAAGGTTGGGAGTGGCCAGGCAGATCTGGGCAACCAGTTCTACAGAGGCCTTTGTGCTCAGCAGATACCTACCTTGTCCCCAGACCCCTGGCAAGAAAGTCATCATCACCAGACTGACTCACTGGTCTACCATTAGGGGCCGGGAAAAGGGATACTCTTCACAGCCCCAGTCTTACCTGGCATTTCATGAAGAACTCCTTGTATCCCCCCTTCAGGACGTACAGCTCAGGGTAGTGGAGTTTGGGGTATTCATTACCCAGGCGATCTCTCTCTCTCACATACCGGCACCTAGTGAGGGGAAGGAAGGCCAAAGCAGGGTTACCTCCTTCAACACAGAGCAACACCACAGCAACGCAGTCAAAGCAGCAGTTGTGGTTTAGGTCCCCCTTACACACTTCTTCCCAACTTTACATTTATTCTTAGGAACCATCAGTGCTGAGTTGCAAATTCCTGGCCATGTGAGCAGCCAGTGCCAGTAGATGGCCTCTTCCCCAACAGTGCTAGCATCTGAGTCCTGCCCAGCACCTTCGCTGCCAGTTTGTGGCAGCACTTTCACCATCTAAGCCAGCCTGCTCTTGCATTCTCCACCCCAGCCTTCCCTTCAGCCGGGCTCCCTCACTCACCTTTTTCTAGCTAAGTGGGATTGTTTCTTTCTGTGGCTTTTAAAGAGGCTGAACTCGCTCCTGCTTCAGGACACCTGTTTCTATCCTCTGCCTTGACTGAATGCTCTTCGATATCCTTATCTGGCTTATGGCTGCTTACTGCCTCGCCCTTGGTATAAAAGCCCAAGGCCTCGAGTCCTTCAGAGGCCTACAGCTCATCACCCCCACTGCTGCTCTGCCCCTGGCTCACCCCACACCAGCCCCTGCGACCCACTACTGTCCCTCTGGCCTGCCTGGGAGCTCCCACCTTACTTTCCTTTGAAGAACTCTTTTTTTTTTTGAGACAGTTTCCTTCTATTGCCAGGCTGGAGTGCAGTGGTGCTGTCTCAGCTCACTGCAACCTCCACCTCCTGGGTTCAAGCGATTCTCCTGCCTCAGCCTCCTTAATAGCTGGGATTACAGGTGCCCACCACCACACCCAGCTAATTTTTTAGTAGAGACAGGGTTTCACTATGTTGGCCAGGCTGGTCTCAAACTCCTGACCTCAGGCAACCCACCTTGGCTTCCCAAAATGCTGGGATTACAGGCACGAGCCACTGTGCCCAGCCACTATTTTTTTTTTGAGACAGTCTCATTCTGTCGTCCAGGCTGGAGTGCGGTGGTGCATGATCTCGGCTCACTGCAACCTCCACCCTCCGAGTTTAAGAGATTCTCCTGCCTCAGCCTCCAGCATAGTTGGGGTTACAGGTGTCTGCCACCATGCCTGATTCATTTTTTTTTTAGTAGAGACAGGGTTTCACTACCTTGGCCAGGCTGGTCTTGAACTCCTATCTACTCTGATATGTAAGTCCCACGAAGGTAGGGATTTTTTGGTCTGTTTTGTTCACTGCTTTTCTCCCTCAGTATCTAGAAAAGTATTTGGTACATGACAGGCAAGAATATCTGATTTCTCTTGAAGCTCAGTGGTTTGGGGCCTATAGTAACTTCTCCAGTCATGAGGAATGGGCAGCAGCTTCCTCAGCAGCACGTAGCTGGAAGCATTTGCCTGTAGTTAAAATGAGTTCACCTGTCAATCCCAAATCTTTCCTCTGAGAGGCCGAGGCGGGTAGATCATTTGAGGTCTGGAGTTCGAGACCAGCTTGGTCAACATGGCGAAACCCTGGCTCTATTAAAAACACAAAAATTAGCTGGGCATGGTAACATGCGCCTTTAGTCCTAGCTACTCGGGAGCCCAAGGCAGGAGAATTGCTTGAACCTAGGAGGCACAGGCTGCAGTGAGCCAAGATCGCACCACTGCACTCCAGTCTGGGTGAAAAAGCAAGACTCCATCTCAAAAAAACAAACAAAAAAACCCCAACCTGCTGAGTGAATAATTGCATTTATGAATGACCATTAAGTTCTTGCTCAAATATCACCTATGCATGTAGTAACGTATAGAGCAAAACACTCATCCTTCAGAGACAGATGCTTGAAGGACTCATGACAGTCACAAGTGTCAAGTTCTAATGTAGTTGCCTGTGTGTAGAGCATGTACATGCCAATGTGACAACTATTAATAAAATCAGGTGAAGTGTATACAAGTATAACCTCTGTGTGTGTGTGTGTGTGTGTGTGTGTGTATGTGTGTGTGTGTGTGAGACAGAGTCTCACTCTGTCACCCAGGCTGGAGTACAGTGACATGATCCCGGCTCAGTGTAGCCTCGACTGGCCGGGCTCAAACGATCCTCCCACCGCCTATTTTTTTGCAGAGGTGGGATCTCGCTGTATTACCCAGGCTGGTCCGAAACTCCTGAGCAAGTGATCCTCCTGCCTCAGCCTCCCAGAGTGTTGGTGCCACTGTGCCCAGCCATAACCTCACCTCTTTTTGAGTTTTAAAATGGTTCAAAAGGGTGGGTACAGTGGCTCACACCTGCAGTCCTAGCACTTTGGGAGGCTGAGGAGGAGTGCTTGAGGCCAGGAGTTCGAGACCAAGCTGGCCAAAATATTAAGATCCCATCTCAAAATTTGAAATTTCTGCCAGGTGCGGTGGTTCATGCCTTTTGGGAGGCCAAGGCGGGCAGATCACCTGAAGTCAGGAGTTCGAGACCAGCCTGGCCAACATGTGAAACCTTATCTCTACTAAAAATACAAAAATTGGCCAGGCATGGTGGTGCAAACCTGTAATCCCAGCTACTCAGGAGGCCGAGGCAGGCAGATCACCTGAGGTCGGGAGTTCGAGACAATCAACCTGACCAATATGGTGAAACCTCATCTCTACTAAAAACACAAAAATTAACCAGGCTTGGTGGTGGTGGTAGCTGGTAATCTCAGTTACTCATGAGGCTGAGACAGGAGAATTGCTTGAACCCAGGAGGTAGAGGTTGCAGTGAGCTGAGATCACACCATTGCACTCTAGCCTGGGCAGTAAGAGTGAAACTCCACCTCAAAAAAACAAACAAAAACAAACAAAAGACACAATACACACGTGCACGTGCGCACACATATACACAAACTAAGGACAGTGGGGGAAATTAGAAGAGCCAAAGTTTAACTCAATATAAAATGACATATGTGTGTAGGCTGAGGTATGAAACTGGCTTGTTATGTGCCAGAGGTTGCTTGACATGCTAAAATCAGCTCCGAGTGCAAGCCACAAACCAGCATGTCCCAAAAAAGTATCATGGGGCCTCTGCCCCAGAGCCCAGTTCTGTGCAGTACTCACATGCGGGGACCTCTCTCAGAAGAAAACTCGCAGTGAAACACAACGATGACACGCTTGCCATCAGTAGGTACAATGGGCTTCTTCAGTAAGAAGTCTTCAACCTCTTCTTCCATGTGCAAGTTCACCGCACCCTATGAAGACAACAGAGACCCTTGGAATCTGCATGCTTCACACCTGAAGTAATGATTCATCAAGAATAATCTTTAAGTTCAGAATACCAATTTGTGATTTTGCAGTTCTTTTGGCTGAAGAGCCCAGTAGACCATCTGGCACCTGTATCTCAATGGAGCTTTATGGGTCTGTACATATTGATTGCACAGTAATGTATATGGGACTGGAAATGGGCAATTCGAATATGACTATGGTACACTTTGTAAGTAGTTTCTGGTCCCCTGAACGGCTTAAACATCAGTGGGTAGCTCCTACAAGTGCTCTTGATGGTGATGTGAGGGACAAACATGAAGAGCAACTGCAGCACAAGGTGGTAGAGAGTATTGCAGACAAGGGAACATTCGTTTGGAGCACCTGGAATCAAATGCCTTCCACACTCACTGTATTGTTTTAAAATTTCTAACAACTAGCATATGAGCTAAGCAGCCAGATGTCACTGTCTCCCCCTTTAAAACCACAGATCTGGCCAGGCACAGTGGCTCACACCTGTAACCCCAGCACTTTGGAAGGCTGAGGCAGGTGGATCACAAGGTCAGGAGTTCGAGGCCACACTGGCCAACACGGTAAAACCCCGTCTCTACCCAAAATACAAAAGATTAGCTGGGTGTGGTGACAGGCACCTGTAATCCGAGCTACCTGGGAGGCTGAGGCAGGAGAATCACTTGAACCCAGGAGGTGGAGGTTGCAGTGAGCCAAAATTGCCCCATTGCACTCCAGCTCGTGCAACAGAGCGAGACTCCATCGCAAAAAAATAAGCAAGCAAACAAACCAAAAACCCATAGATTCTGTTTAGGGCTCCTTCTATAGCAAGTCTCAGGAATCCATACCTTGATGTGGCCTCCCTCGTATTCATATGGGTATCGACAGTCAATGATAACAAACTCTTTAATGAGGTTGGCAAACTTGCCATTCAAAACAGATGCCATCTGTTAAAAGAAAACCAAGGAGAATCAACTTTGACAGTCAGGAAAAACTAAATTCAAGTACCCCATGTGTGGTAGGTTCCAAAAGGATGAACTCACAATTTCGGGAGAGATGTATTTTAAATCCTGATGTTTCCCAGCAACTGTATGAAAGAGATAACCCTAAAAAAGAAAAAAAAGATACTTAGAGAATCTGAAAGCCTATATATATTCATACTTATATTGTTTGTCTGGGTGGTAGGAGGCATCATTTAAAAATCAAACATTAATAGTACACGGTAGTTACTCTTCTAGTTACTTCACTAACATCCTGACATTTAATTTTCACATAAACCAATAAGGTATATTAGCCCCACTTTGAGCACCTTATCCAAGGTTACCTAGCTAGTAAGCCACATTTGAATAAAGAAACCTCAGGTAATCTCATTTTCCTCCTGCTTTTGTCAAGAATCCACGTCACACTGTGAACAGCACTTAAACATACAGATTTCACTCACTGACTGAGTACCTGCTATGTCCAGCATGGTACAAGGCACTGGGAATAGGAAAAAAGAGACTTAGCCCGGTCTTGAGGAGGAATATGGACACATTAGCAATTACTCATTTCGGTGACTGGCTGAGTCAAGAGTTCGCCATTGCCACACATAGGCCCATTAAGACAGATATTACAGGGCTGGGCACGGTGGCTCACAACTGTAATCCCAGCACTTTGGGAGGTCGAGGGGGGCAGATCACGAGGTCAGGAGTTGAGACTACCCTGACCAACATGGTGAAACCCCGTCTCTACTAAAAAATATGCCTGCAATCCCAGCTCCTCAGGAGGCTGAGGCAGGAGAATCACCTGAACCCGGGAACCGAGATCACACCATTGCACTCCAGCTTGGGCGACAGAGCAAGACTCTCTCAGGGGCTGGGGAGGCAAGGAGGGGACAAACATAATCAATTTCAATTCAAGGTGAAAATTCCACTGAGTGTGGTGATGCATGCCTATCGTCCCAGCAACTTGGGAGGGTGAGGCAGGAGGAGCACTTGAGGCCAGAAGTTTGAGGCTACAGTGTACTATGATAGCATGTGTGAACAGCCACTGCACTACAGCCTGAGCTACATACTAAGACCACATCTCTCCCCCTCAAACAAGAGAAGCTTCCAAAAGTGAGGATACAGCTGAGTCTTTGCTTGTTCTCTTCATTCTCCCTGTTCTTTTGAAACCCATTTGAGCTGAAATATCAATGGCCCAAGCCCATACATTCCCCAACCCACTAGCCAAGACAAACTCTTTTACTTCTCACAGTCTGCTGTTTATGTTTATATCTCACTGAAATTTATTTCAATCTACCATGTGGTACATGTAGTTCATATCTCACCTCTCCAACCACATGCTAAGTTCTTTGAGGGAAGTAACTGGGTCTCATTTTGGAATCTCTGCCTAACACATCAGTGCTTCAATAAATGTTAACTAAATTAATGAAAAAAACATTGATCTGGTAACCGTCAAGTCAAAATGTGACTAAAGAAGCTGCTATTGACACATTCCCTGTCCTAGCCTTGTATTTTACCACAGACAAGCCTTCATGTAGCATATCAGGCTATTAGAAGATCTTCCTCTAGACTTCCAAGAGGGCCTTTTCCCTCAATGGCCAATCTTCTCTGGACAATGGAGAAATTCAGTCTCAATCCCAGACCTTCTAAGATAACCTTTCAACATGTAGACTTGCAGTGAGGCTACAGGTTTATTTCTGCTTTGTACTATCCTGCTAAATACTATTTTTATAATCAGAAAACACAGTTCCCAGATAGCCTGGCCTTTGGGTTAGAACCAAGATGGTTGGTGGACAGCTCCCTATGTAAAACTGCCCATCAGCATGAGTGAGATCTAGTCTCAGAGACCAACATACATATCATGAGAAACCAAGTTTGCTTCCCTACATTCTTTAATTGTGTCCTTTTGGAGGCACCCCAGGAACCACCTTAGGGAGAAAGGCTGAGTGGGGTTCTAGATATCCACACTCTTTCCTGCACTCGCCAGAGCAGCTCTGCTTTGTTACCTTGGAGAAGTCTCCTATAAGGTCCCTTGGGTCATTGTCCAAAATGTTCTCAATGGTTCCTTTGGGGGAAGATGCCAGGGATAAAGACCGATGTAGAGTCTGTAACAAAGGTAGAGAATGAGGCCAGGGCTCTGAATGAACTTCTGAAAACATTAACTTGGAGCACGTCTTGAGGAGACTAGACACACACACACACACACACATACACACACACACACACACACACAACCCGGCATGGGTGGTACATGCTTGTAGTCCCAACTACTCAGGAGGCTGAAATGGGAGATCACCTGAGCCTGGGGAGGTCGAGGTTACAGTGAGTGGTGATGGCGCCACTGCACTCCAGCCTGGGTGACAGAGTAAGACTGT